CTAACCAGTGTCTACCAGGTCCCTAGGGTAGGGCTTGGACATAGTGTGCACCATATACTTTGTACATTTGGGTAAAACCACATTGTAGTAGAACATACTTTAATTACTTACTCTTAAGTGAGGAATAATCTTTTTCCTTTTATAAGTTATATTGCTATGAATACTTTTGGCTACATTTACAAATCATTCAGGGGGCACCATTAGTCAGTGTTTTGTTTCATTGTTCTGAAAAAATACCTGAGAAAATCAACTTAGAGGAACAAGATTTATTTTGACTCATAGATTTAGTGGTTTTGGTTTTTGGTCACTTGGTTGTGTTGATTCTGGAGAACATCATGGTGGAGAAGATGTGTTGGAGCAAAGCGGCTCATTTCATGACTTCTCATTAGTTATGAGTGGTGATAATCAACAACTACTCCCTCTCTCCCACTAGAAATGTAGTCTCTTTTCTTACACAAAGGTATCTCCACACTTAGAATAGAGCCTGTCATAAAGAAAGTGTCCAATAAATATTTGTTGACTAAACCAAAGATGAGTTTGAACATTTATACCAAGTTAAAAATACATCTAACAGTCTAGGCATTTTGCATTTACTCATTATCTAGCCAAAAAAAAATTCAACAGGAAATAATAGATAGAATTTGGCAGAAAAAGTTACCTCTTAATTGATAAATTACTACTTATTGAGTGTCTATCACATACTAAGTACGTTGTTAGAATGTGATGGTAAAAAGAAGCTCAAGAGAGCTCTTTGCTTTGAATATTTGGGTGGGAAAGAAGATAGGAGGCAATGTACAAAAAGAGAAATAACCCAAGGCTGATGACCAAGGCAGGGAAATAATATGAAATACTCAAGAAGAAAAAGAGAACACATTAAAGGGACATTGTCACAGTCTGTTTGGGCTGTGGAGACAAAAGTATTAGAACATGGGCAACTTTAAACAATAGAAATTTGCTTGTCACAGGTCTGGAGGCTGAAAGCTCCAGGTCACAGAGCAAGTATGGTTACGTGTTGGTGGAGGTCCTCATTTGGTGTGTAGATTGTGGACTCCCTCACTTATGAAACCCTTTTTTCCTGCATTGGAAAGAGAGTGAGAGAGTTCTCTGAGGTGTCTTCCATGAAGGTTTTAATCTCATTCATCAGGGCTTCTCCATTATAATCCAAATTACCTCTCAAAGGCCCCACCTCCTAATAACTTTCACTGGAGGGTAGAGTTTCAACATATAAATTTTGGCAGGACACTGACATTCAGTCTGTAACAAACTTCTATGCAACGCTCACCATGAGTTGATTAAGGGCAGAGTTTCCTGGACAACTCAGAATTTGCTCTTGAGAGCAAGAAAGGGATGAAACCTACGGAATGGAGCTGACAGTGGTGGAAAAGTATGCTGAGGGCTCACTACTGATGGAGATGATTACAAAGCAGGGGTGACACTATAGTGTGGAGCAGTCTTTTGAGATGTGCAAGAAAGTTTTTCATAGAAGTCATTTTGGGAGGCTGTAAACCAATCTCAATAACACTCTCTGTGTTCGAACCATTTGGTGGCGCTCTCTGAGGCTATGATTATGTCTTTCAAATTTTCTTGCTGTTGATATTCTTCATCATTGGGAAACACATATGATATATTATCAAAAGACAGAGTAGCTCAGGGTCAAACTGGGTTATAAAGTGGCTGGTCAAGCCAGCTAAATCTGTGTGGGGGTCTCAACTGAATTGTAACTGTTAAATGAATGGATTTTCAGATGCATCACATGTATTAGAGCCTAAGATAACTCTAAAACTGGGATTTAAACATTCTGTTTTTGCAAAAGCACCTTCTGAGGTAACTGTTTTGCAAGTCATTGCTCATTTGAAAGAATAATTATTTTTAAAATGTAGCCAGTACTATTCCTTTATAAGTCACTTTTCACAGCAGTGAAAATGGAATCCTTAGTCTTCTTTCTCAGTTTCCTCTGCTAACCCTTTCTTTACCTATTAGAACTTCCTGCATTTGGATTTGGGTATGTTCAGGAGGTGAGAAATGTTTTCTATGACTTAAGAGCAATGCAAGGCAAAGAGCATAAATTCAGCTCTTTTACTCCGTTTTTTGGCAAAAAGCAATTGGAGTCTTTCTAGCCATTAATTTTTAGATGGGCTTCAGAGATGTGACTTTAATAAAAGAATAGTTTGATGGCTGGAAATATAGCTCAGTGGGAGAGGACTTGCCTAGCCTGCTCTACCACTGGAGGCCCTGAATTAGATCCCCAGCACTATAAAACAAACAAACAAACAAACAAACAAGCAAACATTCTACTCCTATTCCCTGATGTTCTGCCACACCCAGCTATAGACCTGAAACAGACTTTGGACTTAGGCCTGTGTCCTCAAATACTCAGATGACTGACAATACCCATAGCTAATCTCTAAACTTTGTGTAGGTTTTCTTGGGTAGATACCAATTCCAAGTTCTTTAGCATTTGATTTTTTTTTTTAGTAGTAGAAGAATTAATAATTGTTAATATTAGTATTGATAATCCATAATAATGTTTTAGTAGAGCTAAAACATCTCTATTTTACATACAGCTGGGATGATGGATAATCAGATTTAACATTGGAATCCATGGAATTTATTTCCTTTAGAGGAACATGAAGATTTCTACAGGACAAAATATTAATGAGTAATATTGAAAAGGCAGACTTGGATACTGTGCCTTTGCAAACATTCATTTCCATGTATGTAACAGTGTGGACTGTCAGGGAGGAGCAAAGTAGGTGTAGATATCAAGGAGGATAGAGTTTCACTAGCTGCTGACAAATACATCCTAAGCACAAGGGATCACTTAGTAAGAGCAAACCTTGTTTAAAGTGAGAAGGTCAAGTTTCAGGAATGGCAGTTCAATTGTCACCTTGGCCCTCAGCATCCACAAGACTCATAACGCTAGTGACATAATAGAGTTCTTTAGTCTTAGTATTCATATGCATTAAATTAGGGAATCATGGGGGATAATTCATTTTCCCAAGCTCACACTTAGTTTAAAATTTGTCATTGTCACTTACTGTGGGTTAGACTTGTCGCCAGACTAGGTTGCATGTTCCTTGCATTTAGTATGGGATATTTATACTTATGCTATGTCCACTTAGCCTAGCAAATGTTGAACTAATTAGTCATACTCAGTTAAGGTGTACGAGGGTACAGCTCAGCAACATGATGCCTGCCTGGCAAGCACGAGGTCCTGAGTTCAATTCCTGGTTCCAAAAAAAGAGAAATATTCAGTTAAATATCCTGTTGAGTTATTGTAGGGACTACCACTTGTAATGGGATAATATTGAGTCTCAAAATATCTGTAAAGTTGTGTAGAGATCAGAAAGGAAGGGGATGGGGAAAAAAGTATATATTTCTTTAGGTAAATTATTTTGCAGCAGACTTTTCTACCCCTCTGAAACTCCTATAGCTGTGCAAGTCATTTAGCTATGTGGTTTGCTTTATTCATGATTGCTGTTTGATCTATAATTTTAAAGGTGATGTACTAACTGCTGTTTAAGCAGGAAAATAGAGACTGTGGTATTTGCAATGAAATGCAGAAGAACAGGAAAACATGGGCCAGTTGGTGCTCTGTAGATCATTATTACCCTTGCTTAATAAAGTAATAGATGCTTCAGAGTTGCTTTGAAGTGGTTGCCAACTTCTTCTCAGTGCTGTGAAATCTAATACTTCTGCCTTTAAACAGTGCGAAAGTGCAAACAGTAGTACTTGTGAATTCATTCAGCGACTTCCAAATGTTGTCTAGGCAGGGAAGGGGAATAAGAAGACTGAAAAAGGAGGGGAAGGGGCCTGCACAAGATTCAGTAGTTGGATGTCAGATCTGCCTGACTTTTAGTTATGCAGGCTGGAACTTTACAGAGATAAATAGTGGTTTCCTAAAAGGATCTAAAGGAATTAAAAGAAGGAACTTTGATCTTAACATTTTTTTTTTATTTAATAAGTGCATGCAGAGTTAAGTGAAAGGCAGTTCAACCTCCGTTTAATTAAACACTTATTAGGATACCAAATTTTAGAAGGTGGAAATTAGTGTCCAAATAATAAAGGGAGGCAAGTCAGGAGAATATTTCATGTGCTTGATCTGAGATGACTACTGCAGAAGACTGGCCTAGTCTTCCGTGGAAATAGTTTTCTGTTATCTGCTTTCCCTTCCTGAGCAGGTGGTCCATGTGTTGAAGTTCTCAAAAATGTCAAGAGCCATTTTTGTAAGTGTCATAAATGCCACACAGGAAACTAGGGAAGCTTTATATCCAGCCAGGTGTCATGAACTTGGTTATATATTCACAATCCCTGCTTTATTTAGGAAGGACATGATAACCAGATTGCTGTCCTTGCCCAGTTTGCTTGGTAACAAAGTAGGTTAGAACAAGGGCTGACTTTCTGGTGCTCACGGCCTGCTGAATTGTGTAAGATAGAGAAATCTGAATTCGGTGGCTTTAGATCTTTCTGTAGCAACAAGCCTCTACATCAGAAAAGCACAGCAAAGACTTTCTTGTGCCACACTGGACATTCAAATGAGTCATGTGCTGAGATGAAGCAGTCGTCATTGGACCTTTGGTCCAGAATACTGGTTGTCTCCAAAAATATATCACCTAAATATGCTTCAACTTTGTTTTACCAGGAAAAATCTAGATTCCACAGCAGCAATGTTCAATAAAGCTTTCAACAATTGAGAAAAAGTTCTGTATCTATATTGTCCAACATGGCACCCACAAGCCACACATGGCTAGGAGATCTTGGGGTAGTAATGGAAATTTATGTTTAATTTTGGTATTTTTAATTTATTTCAATTAAAGAAGACACAAGTGTTTAGTGGATTCTATACACAACAGTACAATTACGGAGGAATGCTGCAGGAATGTAAGCACCTGCCTTTCGTCAAATTTCAAATGGATTGAAGGTTAGGGATGTAGCATTTTCCTAGCATGTGCAAGACCCTGGGTTTGAGTCCCAACACTGCAAAATGAATGAATGAATGAATGAAACAAATTAAAATGAATGGAGACAATATTCAGTGTATGTTTTTAAAGTTTAGAAATTTCCATTTAGTTTTCTCATGACACTAGAATACCTACCATAAAAATAAGGTATGTACTTGCAGTATAAGGACCTTACGTAAGAGAAAGAAAAGAAAAAAGCAAAAATAAGGCAAAGAAGTCAAAGATCTGAATTTACAGGTGTTCCTGGAGAAGGACTGATGATCGTTGCTTGGCCAGATATTTACTGTGATGAAAACTGGTAATGTCTCAGCAAGCAGGTCAGTCACTTCTGGGTACTGGGTTCTTGCATTTTCACTCTTGTTGGAGAGCTGTCTAACTCTTTTCCAAGGCATATCTTAGGGAAAAAGAAAACAAAGAGAAGATGTGCTAAGTGTGAGAAAATGCTTAATAACGCAGGCTCTAACTTGCTTCTAGGTCGTTCCATACATGACTGTAAATCACCTGTCTGGAATGTGGAACATGCTTCTTTATGAAAACACTTTTATAATTTGCTAGTTGCCAAGGCTAACCCCAGGAAATCTGTTTTGCACATCATAAAGCTCAAGTACAGTATAGTTTAATACAAATATTAGGAAATGCTTCCACGGAATACTAGTTAATGAAAACCCATATCAAAATCTAGGGCTATTAACTATTGATCCTGCCTTCCAAAAACATACATGAAGCTTAAAATTTAAATGAGAGCTAATTTTTTGTTTTGTTTTATAGGGTAGATTTCTCAAAGAAAGGCAGAATAAGATTAGATAGAGAAGGCAATTTGGGGAAACTTTCTGCAGAGGATGTTTTGAGTATTCTGGATTGTGTGCTTCTTAATTCTAGCTCTATGTTTCACTCTAGAATACTTCATTTTAAGGTTGATGGCTTTCTTTTTCTTGTCTGCCACCATGCCAATCATTCTGCTCTTAGAGTAGCTAAATAGGTCTGCTTTGATTTATAGGGTGAACAGAGAGAGGGAAATTTGAGAGGGGAAAAAAAGACAAATAACGAGTGGACAGAATTTGAAAGAAAGGGAAAAAGAGGAAGTCAAGGTTTAGGATGAATAGCGGAGGTGAAATTTACAGACTAGTGAGAATAATAATTGTGTCCTTTCACGGAGCATTTCCACCTAGCACCAGCAACAAGTCCAGATTATTTACATTAATTACTTCACGTTGTTTTCATGACAAATTCCTCAGCTGTCAAAACCAGAGTTCAGAGACACCCCTGCACTCCTTCCAGGTAGAAGTAGGTGCTTCTGGATGTCCAAGCCTGCGCACCATCAAACGCCTTTCCATTTCCACCCCAGTACCGTGCTGAGCCAGCACAGTGAAACACAGAGGAAGTGGGGGCAGTGATGTAAATGAGTTTTTTGCAAAGGATGACAAGGTCAGTGATGAGAAGAGCTGGGTGGGTTCCTGCTGCTTCAGGCTCCAGAGAGGTTAGGGAATGAGAAGAGTTGGCGAAGAGTAAGGTGGATTTGTCACAGGAATTAGAGTTTTGACAAGCCAGGAGCCCCAAGGGCAAGGAATGCCCCTGTTGCATCTGTGTTAATGAAAGTAGAAGCATTTATGACCACATGCAGTTACTGACTATGGCCAGTTGTGGTGGCACATGTCTGTATTTCCAGAACCCTGGGGGTCTGAAGTAGAAGGACTACAAGTTCTAGCCCAGCCTGGGCACCTTAATGACTCAGCAAAACCATGCTTCAAAAACAAAAACAAAAAACTACACACAGACACACACACACAAACAAACAAACAAACACAAAACAAGGCTGAAAATATGGCTCATTGTGACGGTCCTGGGTTCAATCTCCACAACTGGTGAAGACTGTGCTCCTGTGGCTAGGAATGTGTTGGAGAGTTTGTGAATTTGCGAGGGTCACTTTTACAGGGAACTTGCTTCAGAGAGTGTTTTCCCTAACCTCAAAGGGTAAAGGCAAAAAATGTATTCAAGCAATCTACCTTTTGGGGGATCCCTGCCACCCTTTGTCAATCGTTCCACATTCCACAAATATTTAAACAACACTGGCATACATCAGACACTCTTCAGTGTCATGTAAAGTGAACGTCAGCTCCACACGTGGACAATGTCTTCAAAGAACCAATTTTTAATTCACTTAACCTCCTATTTTAATGTAGGCTCCTCTCTACCCTGTGTACCATAATACCATGTGGCATTAAAAAAATTACTTAAAGGAAACAAAAGCATTTTGCTTGTAGTATATTTATAACTTCCTCTAGATTTAGGAGTTTGCCAGGGCTGAATAGAAAACTAAATATAAACCACATTTGTATTTTCCTTCGGAAGCCTACTGGGCATTAAAAAGGAAGGATGAGAATATGAGCTTTGTGCAAAGGCTTTCTGTGTAAATGAACAGCTGTAGCTCAGGGAAGCAGTTTGTTACTAAAAATAGATGCTAACTATACTCAGATTCTGCAGAGGCAGAAATAAATTCCAAAAAGGGTGTACGATGAAGGAGTGGGAGTGTAGAAGTAATCAGAACTGTGGCCCCACATCTAGGGTTGCATAATAGTGTGTTAGTATCAATCAAATATGCTTACTGCACACACTTAAGGTTTCCTCAGTCTCCAAGACAATTAGGAAGCAGAGTGTAATGATGAAGCTAAAAGGAAAATCTACATGCAGGCTATTTTTAGCACACTAGATCAAAGTGTTTTATAGGAAAGACCAGGGAGAGTAAACAGAGGAAAAATATAAATGCTTAGGAAAAAAGTGTATAAACTTGATGTACAGCAATAACTTCATAAAGATTTGAGGTACATCCAGAAGAACTTTCAAGACATTAGTTTTAAAACAGCCACCTCTGTATTTTATTAATATTTACTTAATTAAGATTTCTGGAGGTCTACTTTCTATGATGAGTTCCAATTTTAGTATTTGCTAAATTGATCAGTGACTTAACATTGTGAACCAGTGCTCACAACCAGATTGTGTCTATGCTTCAAATTCATATTTAAATCTCAGGCCTTGATGTGCTAGGGTGGGGTCTTTGGGTGATAACTGGGTTTGGAGGAGATCAGGAGGTGCGGGCTTCCTGATGGACTTAGTGCTCTTCTAAGAGGACAAAGCTACACCAAGTTCTCTTTCCCTCCAACTTTCCCTCTTCTTCTCCGCCACATGAGCACACAGTGTGAAGGCACGTGTCGACATGCCTGGAAAACACGTTGACCAAGAACCTAGTACACCAGTACCTTGCTGTTGGCCTTCCAGCCTCCAGAATTATGTAGAATAAATGCATGCTGTTTAAACTCTTCAGTCTGTGGTATTTTCTGATAGCAAACTGAGCAGGCTAGTGTAACCTGTATTGTCACATAGTGTTGAAATAATTGGGTGGTTATGGCTCTGTGATCAGTCAGCTAGGCATGGTTATTCCTCTGTACACTCCATTTCCTTCCTTATCTAAGGTTGAAATCCTTTGAAAACCTCAACAGGTAATGACTCCTCCCAATTTATTCTCTGATTCCACTTGGCCTACACTTGATAAGATGTTTAAAGCACTCCCACAATGTGTAGACTTACAATTTTTAACTGAATAGAAAGACTTAATGTGTTAAACATTTCTATTCCATAGTAGTTGAGAACTAAATAGAGGAGGAACAAGGCTGCCAACATTTAAACTGTTCATGATCACATCTTTGTTTTGAAATAGTGATTGTTGGAATCTTGACAATGGAGAATGACCAGGTTCCATATAGACAGGCAAATACATTAAGGAAATCTACTTTCCAATATGGATGCATCTACCTAGTATGGCATAGTAAAGCTTTAAAATATTTGATAAATACATTTCTTGTAACAATAATTAGGTTAACCTGAGACATAAAAAATATAACCAAAAATTTAAAACAATAGGATCATGCCCCTAGATATGTCACATATTATCTTATTTTTATTTGTATTTTGAGATCAAATTATAGTGACGGGTAATAGAGTACTTTATTACTGTTGGAGAAACATAACCAGAGGAGTTTAACTAGGAGCATTATTTATTCCATTGCATTAGATATTTCCTTCCAGATTTTAAAACCCTAGCTTTCTATACCTAGAGGATTTGTACCCACCATCTTTAAATTCTGTGGGTAAGCTTTTTTTTAAGAGGACAAAAAAAAAAACCACAATAACAACAACAAAGACAAAAACAGAACAACACAAAACAATAAAAATGATACAGATGGTTGTTATATTACATATTATTATCTTCAACGAAGTTGCTCAGATTGTCAGATATAAGAATGCAAGATTAATCAAACCATTAAAGAGAATAAAAAGTAATAAAAAAATTAGAAACGACAGAGAGCTTCACTAAACAAGATGATAAGAATTCAACAATGGTTGTTATGTTGCACATGTTGTTTCCAATTAGTTGTTCAGACCACCAGATATAAGCACGCAAAATTGGTCAGCAGTGCAAGTTCTGCAGCTGAGGTTCAAATTCTATCTTTGTTCTCAGATTCATCATCTCAAATATGGGTAAAAACAAGGAAGCATTTTTAATATTGTGCATTTTTCGGTCATATTTAGAATAAATAAATATTTCTAGGTTTGTCTTACCTGGGATAATTGTAAAACCGATGGTTTGTGGCTAATGCATTTTAAACTTGTTTTTTTTTTTTAACTTCAAAGAGGAAAAAAAATAACAAAATAACTTGCTCCCTGTCCCGCGCCCCCTCAACTGCTATGGTTAGTTGATATTCAACTGACAATTCTGTTTGACCAAACTCCAGCCAGGCTACTTTGAGATCTCAAAGACTCGAAACAAAACAAAACAAAACAAAACAAAACAAAACAAAACGCTACCATGGTTTCTCATAGCTCAAAGCCATATCCATAGGATACCCCTAAGTTCTCTTAAATTGCCTGCCGGGGAAAACTGAAGCCTATCTAAAGGGTACACTGTGTTTTCCAGCCAGCACCTGAAGCTAGGACCCTGCTCTCCCATCCTCTAAGGGAAGGGAAGAGTCCAACTGGTAAAAGATTAGCAAACCCAGGAGGGTTTCCTGTGGAACAAGCCTTGCTTTCCGGATTTCTGTTACTTTTCACTCCCTGGACCATACTGAGTCCCCCTGCACTCCTCCCTACTTCATTCTTTGTTTAAATGCCCATTGCCTCTGTGCAAATTAAGGATGAGTCCAGTGCAGTAGTATATTACTGATTAAAATCTATTCTTATCACTGTAATAGTGTTCAACTTTGTTTATCTTCGATACTATGTTCTTCTGGGCCATAGTCAGATTTTACTGACTACCAAAATGAGAGTAACTAACAGCAAGAACAGTGCTTATCACAAGAATTAAGAGTTTGTGGCATACACAAATCAGGCTACACAAATTAG